AGCGCTTGCACCGCCACCACCTTCTGCATTCGGTGCGAAGGAGGTGAACGCAATACGAGAGAGGCCTCCACTCAACGACCAAAATAATCACGACGATGACAGGGTAGTAGAGGAGGAGGGGGCGCTGAGCCGCTACTGCGATGTTAAATCGCCGGAGGCCATGCTCGCCCGCCTGCGAGACGTACGGGGCGTCAAGGTGCCTCACAAGACGCTTGGCGGGAAGGGCGTGCCGCTCCCGCTGCGACAGCGCCGCGACAACCCGCAACTTTTCCTGCAGGCGGTGACCGTTGATCATCACAAACCATCACTAAAACCAGCCACAGGAGCCATGTGGCGACCCGGGTGGAACTGCCTCGCTGCATGGGATCGTGACGAGCGGTGCGTCATTGCTGCACGTTCATTCGTCGTCTTCGACAGTGTGCGGAAGGCGACGGAGTACGGCGTGGCACCACAGGCCTTGCCCCACGTGTGGGGCAGTGATGTCCAGGCTGACACGCACCCACTTCGCCAGCAAGAGTTGCTGCTGCAGGTGCCGCAGCTCTGTATTCGTGGGGTGCCCTGCCCAATTGTGGTGCAGGCACTGCCGCACCTTCAACGCCTATACCGCATGACTGCCACAGGCGATGCAGCAGGGCGCCCCGAGGGTGAGCTGCAGTATCTCCGCCTGTCGGAGAATATTGAGCTCTTCTACGGACGCGGAAGCTTCTGGCTGCTGGACGATGGGGGCCCCAATGGCACCGCGGCGGATATCGAAAGTATGCGCGCGTTGTTCAGGCGGAAGGCGCTCCTTGCAGTGAAGAAGCGCATGACAATGCAGCGGTCGCCTTTCGCGGCTCATTACTACTTTGAGCGACATGTGATTCTACACCCGTCAGGCGTGGCTCCTGGCAAGATTGAACGCTGCGTTGTCCCTGTCCATCCTATTGAAGGGGGACGCGCTGCCTTTTTCGTTTCGTCACACTGGCTATCGACTGCGACGACGACGCTGCCGCGCATCAGCACTGCCGAGGCATTCTTGGAGTTCTTACTGGAGATGCGGCGGCGCGTAGAAGAAAAGAAAGGGGAAGTGACTTGTGCCGCGGTTGTGACGGACTCCCTGGAGCTGCGAGTGCCGGCTACTGCGACTTCACTGAAGGTGGAGGTTCCGGCGGGGTGTACGGTACTGTTTGACGCCGATGTCAGCCTCACGGTGGGCGCAGACGTCACGCTTCACATCGGGAGCAGCAGTAATACCGGCACCGGTGGTGACGAGAGGCGTTCGCTGCTCACCGCTGCGACGGCCGGGGCCTACTGGACTGGAATCACTGTCGAGGCGCGCGGCACTCTCGCAGTGGCGGGTACTACCGTTGCACAGACTGGATCGGCACGGCACAAGCGTCGCAAAGGAACGGGGTCTCACATAAAGTACGCGTCACCCGCACTCACGGGTGTGGGAAGCGACAGCGCGGCGGCTGCAGGTGCGAGGGTTTTTGTGAATCACTCCGCGTTTGTAAACTGTGCGGGCCCTGTTTTTGGCGCTGGGCGTCGCGCGCAGATTGTCATTGCCGATACGCTGTTTCAGGACATAGCGCAAGGTGGCGAGTGCGTGGAATGTGAAGCTCTTCTGGAGCGCGTGCATGTGCTAGACGTGCCGTACGAGTCGGGCAACCTGCAGCGCGAGACGAATAGCGCCACGCGTAGCGGGGGCCAGCAGGCGCATGATGGTGTGTACGTGGATGGTGACAATGATGGGCTCTACGTGCGTGGCGGGAAGGCTACGCTGCGGCACATTGTCGTGGCAAACACTCTCGATGACTGTGTTGATAGCGCTAGCAGCACGCCGAAGCGAGTGGAGAAGGCGGATGGGGAGGCGACGCATCTAACGGTAGATGGCAGCGTCCTGCAGAACTGCCTGCACGAGGGCATCGCACTGAGTTCTGGTGCAGGCACGTTCCGCGAGGTTTTCGTGTCAAACAGTATCATATCCGACGTGCAGCAGGGTGTGGAGAACGGTCATGCCGCTGCTGGACACCGAGCCACGTTGCGAGGCGTTCTGATTCGACGCACCCAGGTGGCTCTGCGACACGGCGACAACTATCCCCTCCCTATCGAGAGCCGAATCCGTGTGCAGGGCACAATCTTTGTGAACAACACTATAAACGTATTGGAAGAAGAATTTGCGTTAAGCCATGCAAAAGGGTGGTTCAATCCTTTCATTGAGGACCACACCATTGGCAATCGACACATTGCATTGATTAACTCTACGGAATGGCGTCGCAGTGCCCGCAGCCACGGCGTTTCTCAGTTGGGTTGGTGGCGCCTGTTGGAGGGCGAGGGTGGGGGGCGTATGCTTAGTGTTGGGCGTCGCGATGG